TGCAGAGGCCAAAGGCGCCGACATTTCGGATGCTTGTCGGATGTGCCACCGCCTCGCGAAAGTGACCGCGTCCGAAAGCATTGGCAGTTGGGCAAACCTCCGAAGAGAAGAACGCCCAACAAGCCCAGCTTCTTCGGCGCGATGAACCAACATAGAGCCTCCAACTCCAACACAATTCTCCCTGTGAAGTTCCCTGGGGACAAAGGCGACATGATCTGAAGATTTCAAGTGTGCAGCTTGGGGGAGCTGGCTTGACAATGCCTCACTTTGAGCTCGCTTTCGAAACCGCCGCCCTGTTTGCCAATACTATTGCTGGCCTGGCTCATGCATGGGCTGCCCTGAACACAGTCAAATTACAAGTTCCCCTCCCTTCAACACGAACGTGAGTGGACACAAGCCACTTGTGCATGAGACTAGCTCCTAGAATTTGTTGAGCTGAGGCTTCTCCACACATCGGGCCCAGACGGTGCATGCATCATGGCTTTGGCAACCGCTGCGATCCATTGCCCGCCTCCTCTACTGCCACTTGTGTGTCTTGACGCTGGCTGTAGTCCATCTGCTGCAAAATCACCTGGGCCAGCTTTCCGCGTGGACTCCGGCTCAACCGTTGCCCCTTGGTCTAACGGAAGGTTGCTAATTGAAATGAACTGCACAAATGTTCGCTGCCATGGCGCTTTTCGCCTGCAAAGGTCAAATGCAACGAAGGAGAATACTACGCCAGGGATATGCGATCAATGTTGACCCCAGATTAATCAACTGCAGCTTATTAATAGGGTGCACCCCCTATTAATAAGCTACGGTTGATTCATAGCGCACCCCCTATTAAAAATAAGCTGCAGTTGATTAATCTGGGGTCAACATTAAGTTTTCAGGAAACAACAAAATCACGAGAAAGTCCTGGTACTAGCAACGTGGAGCCAGGGCCGCTGCATTGGAGATCAACGTCAAGCATTCCTCAGCGAGATCAGGAATCAGGACGTCAGCACGGCGCGCGCCCCTAACGTAAAGGAAGCTTTCAGAGCCAGCTTCTCAACAGGGATGCACCTGACAGACTCGAATGAACAGCCGGCGGCAGTCCAGCAGCTCAAATTTGTGCTACGGCTCCTCAACTGCCTAAGCCTGCTACTGCCTTGTGCGCTTTCGGTAGCAAACGCGTGCACGAGTCCAACGTTGGCCTCGCTAGAGGGCTGGTGCTGGTGAATGCAATCATTCTAGGGGTACTTTCCCCATTCTTTCCAGGGATCCTTCTTTCTGAAAGAAGGATGGTTGAAAAGAAAGGGGAATCAACCCCTAGAATCATGATAGAAATGGCCCGCATCCTATCTTTCGTTCAATTGCTTGCTCACATCTTCAGGTTTGCCATCTACCAGCCTTCAAGGCCAATCCGCCCCTGAATTCTCTCTCCGGTTGAGTCAACGGTCCCAAACTGTGTCAAGCTCATGAGAGCCGCTGCTGCCTTATAGTGACACAATGCATTGGCAGGCAAGGTCTCTGCTGGCTTTGTCCCATGGCATTACGCCATGGGCAAATTCATGGATTTGCACTGGGGGGCCTCACAAAACAGTCAAATTTATTGGGCCAAGCGAGCCTTGCTCAAAAGCGCCCTCCGCACAAGCCCGGGTGGAGATGTCGGCCCTGCATTGCTTGGCCAACAATTCAGGCACGAGCTATTCCTGCCTGAATTCCATTTCGTGATAATTCCCATGCGAACACAATGCGACAAGAGCAACCTTTGACGAGGCCGCAGCTTTCAGACTGACTCAACACACTTTCCGGGGCCCATACCCAAACTTTGAAACACAAAGCCCGTGTGCCCAAACTTTAGCCTTTGCCATGGGCCTGCTGGTACGCCGCAAGAGATGGCCGGTGGCTTGACGTGCCCTCTTTGGAGCATGGTCTCCCCCAAGGAGCCACTAGGGCGCCAGCTGAGTATATCCACCAGGCTTTACCCAAACTAGGCTGATCCAAGGGCTCTCATTTCAGGCTTGACTTGGCCAATTTCGGTCATTTCAGTGATTTCATTTCAGGGCTCCAGTCATTTCAGTCAGACATTCAGGTCATTTGTTCGACTTATGCTGGGCTCCTGCATTCCAGGCTTCAAGCCAGGCCCTAGCCACAATTTCGGATTGTCTTTCACCTCTTGGTTGCTGTTGGAAAGCCGCTTGATTTCCCAAAAAGGTTAAAGTCCTAAAGATCCAACCCAACAATGTTGACCCAGGATTAATAAACCCGTCCCAGTATTAGGGGGGGTGTTCCCTCGAAAAGTGATGAATCCCCATCATCCGCCAGGGGTTTGTTAATCCGGGGTTAACATTAGCAGTCAAGCCCTGGCTTGCCCAGCTGGCGCTCAGGGCATTCATAACCGACTCCCGTGCCATGGCCTTTACATCAGACCTGATCTTCCTCATCATCCTGGCACGCCACTCCGGGCGTTTCAGAACAGAAAAATTGTCTTCAACACGTGTCATTCGTTTCTTGCGGTTGCCCAAGTGAAGACTAAGCAATCATGGGTCTGGGTCATGTAGCAGCGCCGGACGTGCGGCCGAAGTCGTCAAACATGTGTGTCTGATCACTGGAAACCGGTCCCCTTCAACCAAATACGTTGAAAAGCGATCCGCGAACGGGGACCAAACTGCTGGCAGTGGATCAGCTGGCAAGATAGCCTTCAGACTTCTTTCTGGGTCAATCTGAATCTTCTCCTCTGCGAACGAATCAAAGTCCTTCATGGAATTCACTTCCTTAATCCTTCCTGCCCGTTCCAAATCTCTGGGGAATTGCAAATCCACTCTATGCCCCTATGCAGCCACCACACATTGAGATTCCATTATTTTTACATATGGCCATGGGTCAAAACCCCGTACCCCCAGTGAACATCCCAATCCCCACTAAAATCGGTTCTAAAATGGGTGGTGAATTCACCTACCCCAAAATGGGATCCCATTGGTTTTGACCCACCGCCATATGTCTACCACTGATCTATGGAGACTGGGCCTTGATCAATATTCCTCCGACGGCCAACATGCAGCCTGACAAGTAAATCCAGTAACGACAACCGCGGCGCGTCGCAAACACTGCAACTGTCATCCAAAATGCAGTGCTGGGCCTTGCAGCAATGTTGAACACATCAGCGGTCATAACAGCATCGCTTTGCCATTGCGCGGGACCTGCGCGGGACCTCACAATTTTATTTTGCTTGGTGTGGGGATCCAACCAACCCGAATTCTGGTACTCTCAAAAAATGCGCATCCCCACAAACCAGCGCCAGCGGTTTCTCCGGTTCCTGGCTGCTGCTGGTCTCGCTGTCGCTGCAGTGGTGGGACTTTTGCTTCGGCCCACGGCACCTCCTGCAAAATTTCAGCGGTGTCGCACAAAACGCCGGCTGGTTGCTTTCTCTCTTCAACTTCCATCTACCCTTCCTCCCACTAACAAAAGCCATTTGTGGGATACCTGGAAGATGAACTTCCTCTTTAAGTTTAGTGCGAGGGAGGGCAACGGGTGGTTTGGATTGGTGGTTTGGAGGTGTATCCCCCCCCCCCCCCAAAAAAAAAAAAAAACACAAGTGGACTCAATTTTGTTGAAATAAACACACGCATCTGTCTAAGCATGCCTTGCTTCGATGTCTTCGTCCACTTGCTGGAAGGTCTGGCTCCAATGTCAACTTTGGGTTCATCCGGAGAACCCTACCATTCAAGGGTGCTTTCATGTGCTTTCCCTTTTGCCTTAGAATGGATCCACTTTAATTATGGATCCATGGGGATTCAACTCCGACTTTCATGTTTGTCGGATTTCTTCGAAGTTCATGTTCGAAATGTCTCACAGCGAGCGCCCTTCCCCGCCGTTCGCGCAGAGCAAAAAACAGGCAGTCGAGTCCAACGCGTCATCCCCAAGAAAAAAAATATGCCGGGGAAAGTGGCTTGAAGCTTCATCAAAAATGGAAACTGCGGCAGGGCAGAAGCCACTAAACATCTCCTACCCTACCAAGTGCCAGACTTCTCGATCAAATCGTCCCCAGCCCGTCGACCCCGCGCCGACCTATCCTAGTGGCGCAGTTTAAGAGGAGACCAAGGCAGCCCGAGATGCAAACGCTCAAGATCCACACCGAGCCAGTGTCGTTCAAGGGCATGTTGCCTCAGTGGACATAGGCATCGCTTAGCATTAGGGCGGATACGCTTGGGATCGTCGCCCAGAGTTGCAAGCACGCGTTTTCAACACGTGACCCAAATGCACAGCGCATGGAAGCAGCTGGATGAAATGACAAAACAACATGCTCGCTACTTTCCACTTGTCAAGCGCGAAGCAACATGAGTAGATAGCAACTGATTTGGGGCCAGCTTCTGAACTTGCGATGTGGCTGATATGTCATGTCATTGGCCTTTGAAAGAACATCTCTTCTCGTTTTTGGGTCTGGGCAAATGCCGTGGCAAATCTCCCATCACCCGACCTGCCCCGCCAAAATAGACACCAGCTAGAGGGTTGAATGAGCTTAGTGAACAGGCAGCTTACTGTAGTTGGGGCAGGCACGCTGTAGTTGGGGCACGTGATTTGAACATTGCGGCATTGCTGCACCTTGGCTTGGGAGACAATACTAGGCTGGAACTAGGAGCCCAGCAAAAAAATATCTTTTTTGCTTGGTTCGTGGAAAACAAAGGGACCCCAAAAAAGGCAAGAAAGCAAAAGGGGAGCTAATTCTGGGGAAGAGTAGCAAAGCCGCGGACCTTTTTTCGCACCCCGTCGCGTCTCACCCGCGTTTTCGCTCACCCGCCCCGTGCCCTGAGGTGTTTTTCAAAACCCGAGGTGTTGCGACATGCCTGCGGGACATACCCCTTGGTGAAATGACATCCCTCAGGCTACTTCACTCCGAAGCTAAAACTTTTTATTCTTTTTTTTTCCGCCGATCATGCTCATGGGGTTTGATTTCAGCTACTAGAAAAACATAACACTTTGGCTGTCAAAGGAGGCTGCCTGTCAGTGGTTGCCCTCTTAGACTCTTACAGTATCTTACGCGTCTGATGCTTAGAGCTGCGCGCAATGTTGAGCGTGTCTGCAGCGCGCAGTGCTGTGAATGCATGCTGCATGTGCTCTGAGGATGCGCTGCCTGTGTTCAGGTGCTTGCCCTGAATAAAGGCAATGCTTCCCATGGGCACAGCGCGTACTGTGCTACCATGTGCAAAAATGTAAACAAAGGAGGGGTGGCTGCATAATTACCCTGTGCTTGCTAGACTGCTCCTTTTGGTGGGGAGGTGTCCGAGGACAGGAGTGGAAGACATATTCGAGCGGACTCATGGATTCATCTCGTGCCCGTCCCGGCTATGCGCGCATCGCCAAGCTGCGTGTAGCCACGATTAGAATTGCCATCAGCCATGGATGCACCAGGTAGAGCCTCGAGGCAAGGAAGCTTTTGCACGAAAACCTATTCTTGCCTGTTCAAAATGGAGTGTTGGCCAATCCCATTCCATAGTCCGTATAGGGAAACCATTGCGAAGGACCTTTGAACAGCCCAGCTATTCATCCGTTGGGTCGCCGTGGATATTTTGACCGTTGGGCGGGCTTCTTGTCCTTTGCGGGTTTGCCCGCTGGCCACGCGGCAGCAAAGCGCCGCTCGCCATCCAAGCGGGCAGTGCGCGGCAATCCATGTTTCGCGACAGCCGGTCGATGGCAAACATGAGCACCACTGCTCCTGCGACCTGAGCGACCACCACAACCCGTGCCACAAAAAAACAACATAAGCAACAACAAACAAGCAAACAAACAAACCAGCAAACCAGCAAACCAGCAAACCAGCAAGCAAGCAAGCAAGCAAGCAAGCAAGCAAGCAAGCAAGCAAGCAAGCAAGCCAGCAAGCCAGCAAGCCAGCAAGCCAGCCAGCCAGCCAGCAAGCCAGCAAGCCAGCAAGCCAGCAAGCCAGCAAGCCAGCAAGCCAGCAAGCCAGCAAGCCAGCAAGCAAGCAAGCAAGC